TGAAAAATATCGGTATCGTATTTAAAACAAATAAAGGCGTATCTTCAATCCCTAGTTAGCGCAAGCTAAAATAACTAACAAGTCTTGATTTTTTTTTTTAATCTCTGATTTTAAAAGGGCAAAGAGTTTATTTGCATAGAAGTCAGCAAAGCAGTTTAGTGTAAAGACAAAGTCTATCATCCAGCAACAAGGCCGTTTATGTTGATTCTTGTTTGGCTGAAAATGATGGTTAATTATTTGAATATTTTTTTGTAATTTTTATATAATAATTATATTATATTATATATTTTAATGTATATAAAAATTATAAATACATATAAAATGTTTATGTTGTAAAATATGTTATTATAATTATTATAATAAATATAATAAGTAAAATTGCAAAAGAATGTTCATTTTGAGTAAATGAGATCATTTTACTAAAGAGTGCCCAAATTCCCTCATAGTGGAGTAGATGAACAGATCCTAGGCAAGTCGAAACAGTTGTTTTTGTTTCTTTGCTGTCGCGTGCAGAGGAGCATTTGTCCCGTGGCCGCAGTTCGGTACAAGGCCAAATCCGAACATAGTATAGCCCGCCCCCCTGGGGTGCAATTCACATATTCAGAGGCATGCATTCATCTTTCCCTCCCCCACTGTCACCATGTGATTCGTCGCGTCTTTCTGTTGCCTTTGCTGTCCCTCACACATGCCTGCACGCGTTTCGTTACCCATAGCACTCACATCACTCAGGCTTTGGTGCAAACAGGCACACATACAGTAAAAAGGTTTTACAGCTATTAAAAATAAACAGCATGTTTTAGATGTTGTACACTCACATAAGATGAAGACTTCAGTCATTTCAGTGTTTTAGTATACAAATAATTTTTATTCTACATAACGAGTGTCGCCCCTTTCATCAGGGGTATGTCTTGCAATTCAGCTAAGTTAATAAAAATTAACAAACTTTAGTTGAGTTTACCTAAAACCCCAGTAAACCTCATGCTTCAGGAGGATTTGCATTAACTAATTATTTCCGAAATTTTAAAAATGTATATTATATATTATATAATTTTTTAATTATATAATTAAAAATATGAAAAAGAATTAGAATACTATATATAAATAATAATACTATTTTATATAGTACTATATAATATAATAATTATTATCCTTGGAAAATTCTTATGACATAAGAATAGATTGCTGAAAACTTTACCAAATTTCTACATAATCACAAGGAACTACGTCATTATTTCTTATCGTTGAAATTAATGAAGAAGAATGCCTTAAATTTATGTAATTTTAACTTGCAGAAAAACAATTTTTTATTCCACCCACCAATGTTTTTTTTGTTTCTTATTCCTTATTTTCTTTGTCTTGTTTTGTGGCGCTTTGTCAGACATTTTTACGGTGGCAGAGAAGTGCAAAGCAAATCACAATTCTGAAAACAAAATAACAAATTACAAACGCAAATGCAAGTCTAAAAAACAAAATAACAATTCAAAAAGCACAACAACAATTCAGAAAACATTATAGGTGTAGGGATGGCTTTATTGTACCAATAAGATGGCATCCATTTAATAATTAAAATTAAATTGATCAGTTTATTGAACCTTTAGACAGAATATAAAAAAGTTTGTATATGTGGTTTTTGTTGAGTGTCACATGTGATACATTAAGCTTGTATGGCTCGTATCGTATGATATAGGAGGATATGGAGCTCATACTCGAGGAAGAAAAAGAATTGAAGTGATGATAGCTTGTAATATAAATCAATGAGATCTTCATAACAGTATAACAGACTACTTACATAAAGTGATATAAATATCAGTTGTCACGTTATCTCGAACAATATTTGAGAGAAATAGGCCTTTTGTGTACATAGAAAAAGTCTTAGATCTTTGAGTTCAGCTCATGAAAAATGGGGGCAAAAACAAAAGTGTTGCGTTTATAATTTTGTTCAGTGTATTAAATTTGACATGTTCCTTAAATATTGCTGTCAAGGCTATCGCTAGGTCTTGTTAGTGCACATCTTGTATTATTTTATTACTGTAAAAAAAGCTGTAAGCTAGCTTTTTGCATCTGTTTCTGTTCTTTGTAATGTAAAAATTATTTCATGTGTTAAAACTGTTCTTGGAGAGAGGAAAGGAAAACTCTAGGACAATAGTAAAGTGGGGCAAGTGGGGCACAATCACTCTCTGTTGCATAGCTGAGGAATGTCAACCTAAACACACAGTTCAGATGAGTTCGGTCACCGTGGAGAAGATAAATCAAAACTTCAAAACAAACATTTTTGAGGACTGAAGGACTCCGTGTTCTGTGCGTCCACCGAGGAAGCTTTGACTCACTGCTTTAAAATGCTGCCCGAGAAGCGATCGTTATGTAAGACTGCAGCAATTACTGTTATTGTACACATACCTTGCCGCATTATCCAGAGAAAGCCTTGTGTTTCGCATGACTGTTGAATTGAAAAAATATGTCCCTTAGAAGCTTGACAATACAGATTGTGTCAGAGTTGAGCTGGACAGCCGTGCAAAACAGAATAACTTAATTTCACTCGCATTTTAGAGGCATTTTGTCATTTGAGCTCTTAAAGTGATGGTTCAGTCAATCGCTATTGTATTAGTTCATGCTCATGATATCGGGGGCTGACCATTACTGCTGGTGGTTTTGTTGACTGCTGACAAACAAATTTAGTCTCCAGCCACTTACCGGTGATGGTAATGTGCGCAGTATTTCAGGCTGTCATGCCCTTTGTAACAATTTACACCTCAGTTGAGCATAAAATGTAGGAAAACCACAAACTTGCAGATACACTATAAAATGTGTACAGGTTTGATGCATATAAAAATGCAAAGAAATGGAAGCCTTAAAGCTGAAGTGTGTCATTTTGTCAATTATTTCTCTTCAGGAGAACAATGTACCAATGGTTCATATATAGATGACTTAATTAAACACTTCTGCTTTAAAGGAATAGTTAATTCGAAAATGATTTGCTGAAAATGTTCTCATCCTCAGGCCATCCAAGATGTAGATGAGTTTGTTGCAAACAGCTGATAAAAACACCACAATAATCCACACCACTCCAGTCCATCAGTTAAAGTCTTGTGATGCAAATAGCTGCATGTTTATAAGAAACAAATCCATCATTAAGGCATTTTAACTTTAAACTGTCACTTCTGGCCATTCATAATGCTTCCTCAAGTGAAAAAGTCCATTTCCAGTTGTCTTCTCACATTAAAATCCACAGACATACTTGTTTAGAACTGTTTTGGACCATTTTTGCCTTGTAAACGGTGCTTGATCTGTGCAGATTTCGCTCTTGAATCAGACAAGACGACTTTTTCTCTGGAAAAAGCAATATTATGGATAGAGGACTTGAATTTGAGCAGGAAGTGACAGTTTGAAGTTAAAAGCATCTTAATGATGGATTTTTTTCTTATTTCATGCAGCATTTCGCTGCACAAGGTGTTAACTAATGGACTGGAGTGGTGTGTGGATTACTTGTGGATTATTGTGGTGTTTTTATCAGCTGTTTGGACTCTCATTCTGACGGCACCCATTCACTGCAGAGGATCCATTGGTGAGCAAGTGATGGAATGCTACATTTCTCCAAATCTGATGAAGAAACAAACTCATCTACATCTTGGATGTCCAGAAATCACTATAGAACTAGATCAAGAGAAAAGCAACGGCTGCTTTCTGCAGGTGGCCATGAAGATTCATCCGATGGTGTAATCCAGTTAATTAATCAGGATGCAAATGGGTTGTGTGATTAGAATAGCTAGGTAGCTGAAACAAGCAAAGGTGTTTGTGTGGGTAGACATCACTCTCGTCTCCTGTAGTGTGACATGCTATACTTCATCTAGGACTATTCTTGTATAATTATTATACATGCCTCTTTTATTAATCATATTAATTGAGAGATTACATGCAGCATTTGCTCTTTTAAAAATTCATTTGTCACACAGCAGAGCCTTTAAGTAAACTGCAAAAGCTATTTTTAAAGGACAAAAAAAAAGCACCCAGCTCTGTTACAATTACAAAAGTATTTGTAAAATTGGAGAAACCACAAGATTTAATGTATATTTTATATATATATATATATATATATAGGGACTATTAATTAATATTTTTAAGATTATTAAATATTATTATTTCTTAATGTCACATTAAATTCAACTATTGACAGCATCTGTGACATTATCACAGAGCATAATTTAGACACTTCAGTTTAATATTTACTCTAAAACAGAGAAACAATAATTTACTGAGAAAAACCGTGACCTACAGAAGTTATAAAAATATAACTTTATTAGATCATGTGATCCATGACATACCCACTGAAAGCATTCACAGATGCTAGCATTAGCTTTGTGCGTAAACACCTCGAGGGATATTTTAAAATTAAGTTTTACATAAAAAAAGGAAGAAAAATACTTTTAACACAGAATCCACACAATTATCAAATATACTCTCATATACATCTGATGTGTAATAGCCTACACTTTGCAAATGCATACATGTCATAGATAAATATACAGCCAGTTTTCCAAATATCGACATATCGTAAACGTTCTTCTCTCACAGACACACACGCACACCACAAGCATGTGAACCTCTTAAAAGTGGTTTAAGTGGGACTGCTTTTCCTCTCAACACATCCCACAATCCCTTGCAGTCTGTTGTACTGCTGTAATTACGTTAAAAACTCAAAAGGGTGGAGTAATACTGTTTTAAATTAATAAATATGAAAGGAAAAGGTTACTGTCTCCCCAAGCAAACTAATTTGTCCTGTACTTTGAATCGCTTAAAACACCCATCTGACTCTTATTTCATGTAATGAGAACTTGTTCTGCAAAAGCGTCATTAATTAATATCTCAAAGGAAAGGCATTTCTATGGTTGATCATTAACTTTGACAGTATTTCGATGTTAAGCTTCATAATCAGTCTAGTACTGTAAAGTTACACCTCAGCTTACTTCCCAAAATACAAACTCTCCATTAGCTAGTGAAGAGTTTGTTGTAGTCACTCGTGCCTAATAACATCACATCTCAGCAGGCATTCAGCAGATGTTTGTCCAGAGGATACAGATCGGGTGTCTTTTTAAATGGAAAGTAAACAAGCAAAACGTGCCATCTCAAGACTTATGTAACTTGAGGGCATCTCCCATTGGCCTTTTGCAAAGTTAAACACTCCCACTGCATGACGCTTCCATCTTAATGTTCTTCTTGATACGGAAACGTTCTTTTTTTGGGGACCTAATCAGATTGTTATTCCTTTCTCGCTCATTCTTTCTCCATTTTTGGCGTCACAACCACATCATTACCAACTACTCATTCATCTCTGGACGACAGAAACACTGGTGATTCTTACTGGAGAAGTGTTCAACACCTGTTGTAGCCCTTGTCAAACACAACTCGACGTTAGCAGTCCGTATCAAGGTGGTCTTTGACTTGAGCCTGCAGACGTCATCATTTGAAGTACGGTCTAGTAAGGCCGAAGAACCCAAGGAACAGATGTGGGCTCCAAGTCCCTGCCAGAAACAGAAAACTCAAACAGCCCTCACTCCTGCCAGCAGGAAACAGCCGCCAGTCCAATGACTGAGAGGAAGACAACAAGAGAAGCATTTTGCTGCCCTTGCGAGCGTTAGTCTGTGTACTCGGCTACAATTGACAGCAGAACAGTGATGTCATCTGGTTTTCCTCCTTTGGAGAGAAAAAAGAGAGAGGGAATGTTGTCAAGACTACAGATTTACTCAACATCTACAATCCCATGCCATTGAATACACGACAGTTAGGAATGTAAAAATGCATCAATCTGATAATGAATTTAATGCACCGATTATGGATTCAAATGACTTGACTATTACTACCCAATTTATTATGCATCCATTTGAATATGCATCCATCCTCATGCAAAATACAATCTGTGACCTATTTCCAGTGGAAAAACCAAAGACACTTACACTGCATTTAAAGTATGCATTTTTTGAGTTCTTGCATTCTCTGGAAACTGAACCCATGACATTTGTCTTAAAGGGGTCATATGATGCGATTTCAATTTTTCCTTTCTCTTTGGCCTAGTTTGTAATCACAACACACTGGATAGCTGGCCAATCAGAGCACACCTCGCTTTTTCAGACCGATGAGCTTTGTAAAAATCGACGCGTTTCAGAAAGGCGGGGCATAGAGGAGAAACAATAATGTACATTATGTGGAAAATAATGTGTTTTTTTAACCTTAAACCGCATAAACACATTGCATTACACCAAATACACCAAATAATGTTCTTTTTAGCAACATCATATGACCCCTTTAATTATAATTTTGAAAATAATTATGAATCATACCAAAATAATCGAACTGAACTAGTGTCATTTCAGTATCATTGAGACACTATTATAGTTTTTCTTAATATTTTGAATTAGTTTTATTTATTCGTTTTTTTTTTTTTTATTAGTTTTTGTTAAATTAAATAATAATGAGAGCTGTTGCTTTGGCAACTAGCTAAACTAAAATAAGATTTTTTTTTTTTAATCTCAGTTAATGATTATTTTATTTCAAGTAACAAAATATGTTCATGGTTTTAGTTTCATAGTTAACTATAATAACCCTGATTTGAACCTAACAGAATTGTGATAAAATGTTCAAGTGCATTGATCTAAAAAATTGCACACTTTCAATGCAATATAAATGCATGTCAAATGCGTAAATGTAAATGCACTGCATGATTTAGCAAAGAATTGTAATCATTCTGTTGTCAGAGCAAATGCGTACACTCTTAGTGCCAATGATGACTATCAGCAAGACCATTATCTCCCAGAAAACTGTAAAGAAAAAGTAAATCAGGAAAAGCAGTAGTTGATGCTTGTTCAAAAGGTTATATCTCACCTCTGACATTCAAGCCATTATCGCAGGCAAACTGTGCAAATGGAGACATGTAATTGGGGTCGTATGCTAGAACATGGGCCTGTTCTGCAATACTCTTGGCTGTTTGCTGGATGCTTTCATAGTTGGTATTCTGAAAGCAGAGGACACAATTCATATTAGTGCTGCTGGAGGACAGAAAAGTGGACAGATGGAAGTCTTGTTCGTAGATGTTCCGGTACCTTGAGCTTTTTGAGTTCTTGTAAAATCATGTAGTCTGGCATGTTGTCAAAGAGACCATCTGTAGCTGTGAGTATGATGTCACCCAACTGGACATCGAAGGACGAGCTATCGGCAGCCTCAGGGCTGTGGGAAACGAGAGAACAGAAAGTTGTTAAAGGGGTCATATGATGCGATTTCAAGTTTTCCTTTCTCTTTGGAGTGTTACAAGCTGATTGTGCATAGATAAGATCCCTGAAGTTGCAAAGACTAAAGTCTCAAAACCAAAGAGATATTCTTTATCAAAGTTAAGACTCTGCCACGCCCCCCTAAAACAACTTTCGATAGTTTCGTTATGTAATGTGATATTTCGGTTTTACGTTTGACATATGTGAAAACAAAACATTTGACTCTCTCAATCTCAGGTACACAATGATCCATCAAAACCAACTCCATAACTGCACATTTTCAAGTTGAAATGTGTTTAGAGCTCTAAAAAGCTATCAAGCACTACTGTTTGCAGACCATATTTAGGATCACAAGTTGGGAGCAATAAAAGCAGTTTCAGTCTAAGAAGCTTATAGCTTGATCCCCATTACAGTATAAAGCACACGGAAACATACAGATCAGCTGTGAAGTGTCATGTTCCTGTTCCAGGAAGTCTGCGGCAGATGCTATGTACACTGACTCTACGAATACACTGGCTGATTTTCCCTCCGTCTGTGCCAGACCGGCCGGCCAGTCCCAGGTCACGCGGTTTAAACTTGATACTTATTTTGAATAAAAACTTGGAGAAATTAAGAAGTGGGAACGGTTCTAAATTGGAACGGTTTGAGATTTAGACCCACAATCTGAAGAATATCTGGCCTCAGAGTACCTCTTCCAACTAGCTCATCTGTCTGTCAAAGAGAAACCAGCTAATGTCAGGATTTACAAAGGCCATGCTAAGGTTGTCTCCATTAGCTCCATTGGTAAGATTAAAAGTGACCAGATGTAGCTCAGAGCAGAAAGAGCCCAACAATTCCGCTTAAGTGTGATAAAGTCACTGTAGTTTCCTTATTTAGGGTTCTGTTTACCACACACTGATCAGACGTGTTGCTTGGCAATGTTTAGTGAATGCACAACTTAGGGCTGCAGGATTATTCAAAATAAATCCGGAATTGCTTCGTGTGATTATCAAATCACAAAGGCTGCAATTTAAATAAATATATGCACTACGTGTTTCAGAGTAAAGCGCGGCATTGTGTTCATTTATGCCTGAGCAGCTCATTATCCGTAGTTCTTTTCAGCATCTCAGAGCAGCTCAGTTCACAGTAAATGCTGCTCCACACAGACTCCATCTCTGCATCTGCTCTGAGTTTGGGTTGCTGTAACATGCAATAACCATCTTTCCAGACTTGTAAATAGAAATGCTTATAAACAAAAGAGAATCCTTAAAGACTCCCTGCGGTTTTCAGTCGAAATAAAAGTTTGATTGTTTAACATTTGAAAATGAAGACACTAAAAGCAACTATTTATGCAACTAAAAGCAATTACTATTGTAATATTTCACTGTAAAATAATCTAATATTTAAAACAATATAATGCATTTTTTTTTTTAAATATTAGATTATTTTACAGTGAAATATTACAATAGTAATTGCTTTTAGTTGCATAAATAGTTGCTTTTATTTAGAAATGCTTATATTTTTATTTAGTAATATATAACAATTAATAAATAATGAATAATAAAATAATAATAAATAATAATGATTGTTTATTATTTTATAACCATATTGATATATAATCAAAAAATTAATCACATTTGGTCTTTTTTTCCTCAAATCATGCAGCCTTAGCACAACCCTTCAATAAGGTAACAGACAGATATTCAATAAACGAATTGGCTAAATAAATATAACATTTAATTGCACAAAAATCATAGTCAGATTATCTATAATAATAGGAACATTTCACATTAGGCAATCTGAAGAGTGACCATAATTGTCTTTTAAATTTATCATTGAATTATGTGATACATTTGTTACAAAACCAGCAGTACTTAAAGGGGTCATATGATGCGATTTCAATTTTTCCTTTCTCTTTGGAGTGTTACAAGCTCTTGGTGCATAAAGAAGATCTGTAAAGTTGCAAAGACTAAAGTCTCAAATCCAAAGAGATATTCTTTATAAAAGTTAAGAGTCAGCCACACCTACCTAAAACGGCTCGTTCTAACACACCCCACATGTCTACGTCACGATGTGAGAAGATTTGCATAACGCCGCCCAAACGTTCACGCAAAGAAAGAAGGCGTAACTTATATTCTCGCTGTAGTATTGTTGTTGATAATTCTAATAATAAATCAGCATATTAGAATGATTT